CAGGGTTTTTCTTTAAAGGTGGAGCGGGGGGTGAGTGAGCATGTGCAGAAATCCATCACCTTGCTTTCCAGTTTCCAGGCAACCGTGCAGGATTACAACAAGTCACATGATAGCGCTGCTGCCAGGGAGAAGGGGAAAATGGAAAATGTGCTATCTTGAGAAAGGGGCTGGTATAAGCATAGGACTTTGGATTCTCCTCTAGAAATATTATCAACAAGTAGTCAGAGACTCAGAGGCACTTGGCCTGGCCTCCTGCTGGAAGGGAACTGTCCCACCAGATATAAAGCTGCAGGAAACGGGACAGGCCACGGGTGATGGTGGAAGGAGTCATTGCCCTAAGGCGACCCCAGCACCTGTTCTGGAAACCATGCTCTCAGAGGAGTTGTTTTTCTATTTATTTTAATTTATTTTTTATTTTTTTATTTTTTGAGACAGAGTTTGCTCGTTGCCCAGGCTGGAGTGCAATGGCATGATCTCGGCTCACCACAACCTCCGTCTCCTGGGTTCAAATGATTCTCCTGCCTCAGCCTCTCAAGTAGCTGGGATTACAGGCATGTGCCACCACGCCTGGCTAATTTTGTATTTTTAGTAGAGACAGAGTTTCTCCATGTTGGTCAGGCTGGTCTCGAACTCCTGACCTCAGGTGATCCGCCTGCCTTGGCCTCCCAAAGTGCTGGGATTACAGGTGTGAGCCATCGCGCCCGGCCCTCAGAGGCGTTACTACTGACTGAGAAGATCCAAACCAAACCGGGCCTTGCTCCTGGGTCCCCAGTCCCAGTCCCCTCTTGTCGTGGTCACAGCCGTGGGATAATGAGGTAGTCCTTTGGTTAAAGTTGAGCCTACAGTGAGTAGGACTGGTTGGGGGAGGCAGTGATGGTCAGTGGTGACAACTGGGAGGAGAGGAAAACCACCCATGAAGACCAAGTTTCCACTTCCTTTTTGAAAACCTCTTTTTTCTGAACATTGTTTATTTTGATTTTAGTTGTTGTGATTTTTCTATCTCTCCCCCGCCCCCCACATTTTGTGTGTGTGTGTGTGTCTGTGTGTGTACCTTTACTGTTGTTTATATGGTAGACACTTCTATGGCAATCCATACCCCTCTGTCTACACTTCTGTTCCAGTAATAACACCCTCTGTGGCCTAAAGACTCCCTGGAACCCAGTGACAGTTTTACTCTTGGCACTCCTGGGGTGGCCAAAGGGGGTGGCTGTGTTCGTGGCCCTGGGCCAGCTCAGAGCTGGTGGCTAAGAGGGGCCATGGACCACTGACCCCCCAGAATACCAGCAGGCTGGGGCTTTTAGAGCCCACTGGTTTCCTCACACCAGCAGTTGTCCTAAGGCAAAGATGAGTCATCGGGCCACACTCTTTCCTTGGCCTTCCTGGCTGGCTTGACAGCCACATTTCAGAGCCGGTACTGCTGCCTTTATGGCAACCTGGCTGGCTGCCTGGGGTCGAGAGCCTGGAGGGGCAGACCATGGGCACTGAGAGGCAGGTTTTGGGGAGGAGCTGCCACCTGTCATGGCACCCATGAGCCAGAGTCCAGCAGCATGGCTCTAAGAGCTTTCTGGTCCTTTGTCACAGCCCTTTTGGGTGAGGGCAGGTGGCACACAGTCCTGCCGCCTGCCCCTTTCCAGCAGATAATGGGTGGTGGATCCTCCTCCTCTTTTTCTTTCTTTCCTTTTGTTTTTTTTTTTTTTTGAGATGGAATCTCACTCTGTTGCCCAGGCTGACTGCAACCTTAACCTCCTGGGTTTAAAGGATTCTCCTGCGTCAGCCTCCCAAGTAGCTGCGACTACAGGCGCCCATTACCACGCCCGGCTAATTTTTGTATTTTTAGTAGGGACAGGGTTTCACTGTGTTGGCCAGGCTAGTCTGGAATGCCTGACCTCAGGTGATCCGCCCACCTTGGCCTCCCAAAGTGCTGGGATTACAGACATGAGCCACCATGCCCAGCCTCTTCCTTCTCTTTTTCTATGGATACCTAGATAGAGCCACAATTCTTGCATGTTTTAAAGTTCTGAAGGCCTAATGACAGGCCATCTCGCATTTAAAAGGGCTTGTCATCCATTAAGTTGAAGAGTAAGAGCCTTGCACAGCTCTGAGGCCGGGACTCTGCCTTTCACTTCTTGGATCTCTTTGGTTCACACCTTTATGGGTTTTTGGGTTTTTTTTTGTTTGTTTTTGTTTTTGTTTTTAATAGGGAGTCTTGCTTTGTCACCCAGCCTGCCGTGCAGTGGCGCCATCTTGGCTCACTGCAACCCCCCACCTCCTAGGTTCAAGTGATTATCCTGCCTCAGCCTCCCAAGTAGCTGGGATTACAGGCACGCGCCACCACACTCGGCTGATCTTTGTATTTTTAGTAGAGACGGGGTTTCACCATGTTGGCCGGGCTGGTCTCGAACTCCTGACCTCAGGTGATCCTCCAGCCTGGGCCTCCCAAAATGTTGGGATTACAGGCGTGAGCCACCATGTCCGGCCCTTTATGTTTTTTAAAAGGAAGAAAAGTTAATTATTCGCTCATAAGGGATCATTCTATAGCAGCAGATGAATAAATACATAATGCTCTGGGTTTGTGACATACTTTCTCATTTTAAGGGAGAAGGTTGTGTGTGCCTTATAAACGTTTTGGGGAAATATGGGAGAAATTCAAAGGTGACAATGGGGTGAGGAGTTTTCGATACATTAAAACGGCATGCCTTGTCGTTTGGAGTGGGAAAAAAGATATTCCATATCGGTTTAATATTAAATATGCATCCAGGCTTGGAGCGAGGGGGATCAAGTCAGGAGATCGAGACAGGGAAACCCTCTAAAAAAAAAAAATAGCGGCGGGTGGCGCTGTAGCCAGTATCGGAGCTGAGGCAGGAATGGTGAACGGAGGGAGCTTGCACTCAGCTGGGCAGAGGAGACTCGTTCAAAAAAAAAAAAAAAAAAAAATATGTAACATATGGCAGAAGAGGGGACTTCGGAAGAGTAACGGGTATGCAGTTGTTTGGCAGAGATGGCCAATGTGTGCCGCTTTTAGGGTCTTATGGCCAGCAGGTTAGGAAGCTGGACTTAGGTCTTCAGGGCACTGAGGTATGCCTCCTAACTGGTGTTAGCACTCAGGCCTATACTGGCGGATTCACACCCCACCTTCACACATGTACAAACGCAATTCATCCACCAACTGCAGTCCTATATTTACCCGAACTCAGATAGATGCACGTGCACAATCGCGCACAGGCATGCACACGCCTCCAGCGGCTGGCCCCGAGTCCGCCCTATGACAGCGGGCCAGCCAACCCCAGGGCCAGAACTCCCTTTATAAAGTCCTCCAAGCCCAAATTCCCAGGGAAACTTGAATAGAAGTAGAAAAGTGTTTGATGATAGAAAAAAAAAAATCTGCTTGCTTGCAGTTCTTGCGATGGCCATAATGCTACAAGAAACTGTTGCATTCCAGAGCGGGGGAGAGCGAGGGCAGGCAGGGGGTGGAGGCGGGAGCAAAGAGGCCGGAGAACTTGAAAGAAGAAATCAGAACTCGGGCTGAGAACGCCCTCCGGGCCGCGGGGGGCCGGCAGGGGGCGGAGGAGAAGCAGGGGAAGGGTTAACGCGGGAGCGGAGCGTGCGGCGGGGGCGGACCGGGGCCGGGCGGGGCGGGAGCGGGGCGCTGTCCCTTTAAGGCGGGCGGCGCGGGCCGGCCGAGCGCGGCTGTGATTGGCGCGGCGGGATCACTGGCTCCGCGAGCCCGGCCCGGGGGAGTCGGCTGGAGCCGGCTGCGCTTTGATAAGGTCCTGGCAACTCAGTAACAGCCCGAGAGCCGGGAAATAAAAATAACCCCTCAGAGAGATGGATTTCGGGGCCGCCCGGCGGCCGAGGCGCCCGCCGAAGGCCCTGCTGTAAAAGGTGGGGGTGGAGGCTCGGCCCCAGCTGAGCCGCTTCAAAGAAAGCCCCCCTCGGACAGGGGGCGAGGTCGCGCCGAGCCGCGGCGTGGGCGCTGGGGGCGGGAGGGGGCCCGGCCAGGCGGAGGCCGGCCCTAGAGGGGGTCGCGGGCGGGGCGGCCCTGAGGAGCAGCGGCGGGGCTGTGGGGGGCGGCCCGGGGCGCGGCCGGCGCGTACCTCCCTTTCAGGACCGTGCGCTCGGCTCGCGCCTTTGAAGTGCACAGTTAAATCCACAGCGCAGTTTTTGTTGGAAGCGCCCGGAGGACATTTGGTGCGCCGAGTGACTGCTGGAAACAGGACCTGCGTTGAAAGCCGGGCCGGGCGGGGGCCGCAGGGGCCGGGGACGGCCGCGGCGGGGGCGGAGGCCCGCTCGGATCTTTTGCATAAAAGGGGCGGCGGGGCGCGCCGCTCCCCCTCCCCGGCCGGTGGCTCTCGCTCTGATCCCGGGATTGTTGTTTCCCGCACCCCCTCCCCCGCCGCGCGACTCCCCATGTTCCCCGACGCCGCAGCCGGCCCGGGGGGGCCTGGGGCTGCCGCCGCGAGCCGAGCCGGGGGCCGGGGCCGGGCCCCTGCCAGGGGCGCCTGCGAGGTCTCGCCGCGGATCGCGCGCGGGGATCAATGGTGAGTGCCGAGGCCGAGGCAGCCGGGCGGCCCGCGCGCTTTGATGTGCGGGGCGGCCCTTTGAAGTTGGCAGGCCGGCTATTTTGGGGCGCGCTAGGGGCAGGCGCTGAGGGGAGCGGCGGACCCCAGCGCCCAGCCTTCCCGGGGGACTTGGCCGGGCAGCCCCGCGCGCCCTGCGCCGGAGCCCCCTCCCCAGCGCGGGGACCGGGTTGGCGGGGGGCCGGGAGAGGAGACTTCTCCGAGTGGCTGCAGTGGCGGGGGCGGAGAGCGGGCAGATACCCCCCGGGGGTCGCGTCGCTGTCGCGGTTATGGATGTGAGTCGGGGTGTGAGTGCGCGCGGGAGTGCCTTTGAGAGGTGGGATGAAAGGGTAGCGGCGCCCCCCGCTTGCCCTCCCCCCGCCCCCCGCCTCTTCTCCGCCCCATCCTCTCCTCCTACTTCTCTCCCCCTCCCCTTCTCCCCTCCCTGCTGCGGGTCCGCGCTAAGGGGCCCACAGAGCTGGCGGAGGCTCAGTCTGCGCGCAGGACCGGCCCAAGTCCGGGGCGCCCGCGTCCCTCGCGTCCCTTCTCCCCGCCCGGGCCCCGCGCCCGTGGCCGCCCCGGCCCCTTTTGCGGAGAGGCAGGGACTCCGCGCGTCGCCATTTCTGTACTAGGCTGCTGCTTTCTGTGCTTTTTCTGCGGGCGCCTCTGCGAGCGGCGGCGCTGGGGACCGACCCCCCGCCCGGGCACGGGACGCTGCTGGCGCGTCCCGGGGCTCCGGCCTCGAGGTGTGCCCGCCGGGGCTCTGGAGGCGTTCGGTTGCATTTGGGCCGGGGGACCGGGCCGGAGGGGCTCGGAGGACATGAGAGCCCGGCCTCGGCGGCCTTCGTCTTCCAGGTAACGGGGCCGCCCCACCTCCCTGCCGCCCGGGTAGCGCGGTGCTAACGGCAGCCCCACTACTCCGTGGGCCACGCCGCCCAGCCCCGCGGCTCGAAGCTTCGGTCGGGGTCAGCGTGCACCCATCCCAGACCCGGGGTCCCTGGCTCCTTGCCCGGGGTTGCACCCCGTCCCCCGGTCCGCCCCTACCCTTCCTAGTTTGATCCTTTCCGTGCTAGGAAAAGCAGCTTGTTTATTGGTTAGATAAGACTTTTTTCTTTTGGAAAAAAGACAGGCTTGAAATCAGTAGAGTTTGGGATTCTTGACACAGGCAGTAGTGGCGTGAGATGGCTGGTGATCCAGTTTTGTAGGTTTCGCGGCTCGCGGAGGTGGGTTGGGGGCACGGGGGCGACGGTTCCGAGTCCGAGGCTTCTCAGCTCTCTCTCAAAGTTTGAAGATCAAAGTTTCCACTGAGTGAGTTGGTTTCTGGTTTGGGGGAGGTCAGGGAAGACAGAGGTGTTGACTGAGCTGGATTCTTGGCGGGGGTAGGGGGCGCGCAGCGAACACTCACATCTGAGTTGGGGAGGGGGCGTTTGCGTGCTCAATCTGGGAGTCCGGGAGCCCAATCCGCCTATGCTGGGCGGGCTTCTCTCGGACGAGGATCTTCTGAATTTTTAAGGAGTGGGAAGAGGGAGCGCAGAGGGAGGGGGCGGGTGGGGAGAATGGGAACCAGATGCCGGGGAAGGGCACGTTTGGAGCTCGAGTTATCTGTGCAGAGCCGAGTGGGGAAAATTTACCGAAATTGGTTTCACCTGCACACAGCCTAGCGGCTGGGAGTGCGCCTTTTTGGAGTTGATGGTATCGGGGGAGGGGAAAGTAGGGGAAGCGAGGCGCGGGCTGAGCTGCCCTGCGTGCGCCCTGGCCGAGTGGGTTTTTGGAAGGTTGTGTCTTACACCTCCGGTGTCCCCCTGCCGCCCCCAGCACTTGCCCTCCTCTCACCTTCCCCGCCTCTCCCAACAGCTCCCTCCCACCCCCAACCCCGAAAAGTGTGCAGGGAGCTCAGATTTCGCCTTTGAAAAGCAGCGCCTGATACTTTAGATGAGCACCTCGCAGATAGCTGGGTTGCTTGATTTGAATTTGAGGAGTTGAAAAGCCTGTTTACTTTCTTGCTTTGATGTTGGGTAGATCTGGTTTTGATTAGATCAATACCCTTTTCTCTCTCCCCACCTCCCCCCTTCCTTTTCTTTCCAGAGAGGAGGCTCAGATGAGCCCCTGCTGACTTGAGAGAGACAGAGAGACCACGCCGATTGCTGAGAGGAACTGGAAGAGGAAGAAAAAAAATTCCCAAACTCTGTGGGAAGAGCTCCCTCACCATGAGTAGCGCTATGTTGGTGACTCGCCTCCCGGACCCCAGCAGCAGCTTCCGTGAGGATGCCCCGCGGCCCCCAGTGCCAGGGGAAGAAGGGGAGACCCCACCGTGTCAGCTAGGGGTGGGCAAGGGCCAGGTCACCAAACCTGTGCCTGTCTCTTCCAACACCAGGCGGAACGAAGACGGGTTGGGGGAGCCGGAGGGGCGGGCATCTCCGGATTCCCCTCTGACCCGGTGGACCAAGTCCTTACACTCCTTGTTGGGCGATCAAGACGGTGCTTACCTGTTCCGGACTTTCCTGGAGAGGGAGAAATGCGTGGATACCTTAGACTTCTGGTTTGCCTGCAATGGCTTCAGGCAGATGAACCTGAAGGATGCCAAAACTTTACGAGTAGCCAAAGCGATCTACAAAAGGTACATTGAGAACAACAGCATTGTCTCCAAGCAGCTGAAGCCTGCCACCAAGACCTACATAAGAGATGGCATCAAGAAGCAGCAGATTGATTCCATCATGTTTGACCAGGCGCAGACCGAGATCCAGTCGGTGATGGAGGAAAATGCCTACCAGATGTTTTTGACTTCTGATATATACCTCGAATATGTGAGGAGTGGGGGAGAAAACACAGCTTACATGAGTAATGGGGGACTCGGGAGCCTAAAGGTCGTGTGTGGCTATCTCCCCACCTTGAATGAAGAAGAGGAGTGGACTTGTGCCGACTTCAAGTGCAAACTTTCGCCAACTGTGGTTGGCTTGTCCAGCAAAACTCTGAGGGCGACGGCGAGTGTGAGGTCCACGGAAACTGTTGACAGTGGATACAGGTGAGACTTGGACGAGGGTGGGTGGGCTGATGCTGTGGACTTTGCAGATGTTTTAGGTATGGTGGGTGGATGGATGGGTGTGCTGCAGAGACTGACAGGTCTGTTGAGAGTTAGGACTGCTGGCCATGAACTCTTTTTGATCTTGCTTTTTGTTGTTTAAAGAGGGGGAAAGTGATGAACATACGGCTAAATACCTGCAGTCTTCCAGTGCTGACATCAAACAGTGGCAAGGAGTGTTCACTAATGTGGGTTACTTATTATCCCGGGCCAGTGTCTCAGAAGCGGCTGAGAGAGAGAGAGAGAGAGAGAGAGGACAGCAGCTTTTGATGCCTCTGAGTCACCAGATCCACTAAGCGCTGGTTTTGGAAGGGGTCACTTCACCACTAATCAGTAGGGGGTGGAATTAATGTGGCTAGGGAGGCAGCTGGGTTGTGGTGGAGGCACAGGAAATAATGTGTGCACCCATTGAGGGGTAAGTGGGATTTTTTTTTTTTTTTTTTGAACTTTTCTGTTAAGATAAGAGCCAGCAATTGGCTTAACTGAGTTTGTGGTTCTCTTTGTAGAACTAGATATTTACCCAGCAAGAAAGGCCTCTAACTAGGGAAGGTCCTGTGACTTTCCCGAATGAAGGACCCTTAGCTTTAGAGCCTGCTGGCATATTAATCCAGGTTTTAAATGCTCATGAGTCCGAGGGTCAGACTTCAGTTGATTATTTTGTTAGTGCTGATGGAGAAGAGATCTTGGCCCCGGGAGTTCTGGGGCCCTGGAGTACTTTCTCTTTGAGGCTTCAAAGACAAATAGTTCTTTGCAGAATGGCCAAGTCTTAAGATTCTTGACCTTTGGAGGCAACTTCAGACCTCTTGTTAGAATGAGTTTTTCTGTTTTCTCCCCTCCTCCCGACTTCCAGATATCCGAAAAGAGAATGAGCCTCTCTATTCTGGGGTGTGGTTCATGACAGGCAGGGAATGGGGCTGCACTTGACTGCTCTCTGAATGGTGTGTCTTGCTGCCTGTGTGGATTTCTCTGTGTGTTAGGGGCCCAGGATGCGATCTGATAGCTGCCTCTGGATTTCCCTTTCTCTGTAGGGTGTGGTCTCTAGTGCTCAGCAGCAGGAAGAGAGGTGGGCACCAGATGGTTGATCCTGAGCCTCTCGGGGGGCCAGGTCTGAGCCTAGCGGGCCATGATTTTAGGGGTGGCGGAGAGAGTTGACTGTTGGCGAGGAGGGGAAGGGCTTGTTCTCCAACCACCAGGGGGCGCGCTTGTGGCTTGGGAACCAGTTTTACTCAGACATCTGGTCTACACCTAAGTGGAACCAGGTTGACTTTTGCAAGGAAGCACAGGTTCCAGGGAGGTGTTTCAGCGTCTTTATGCTTATGGAGTCAGGTTGTCTGGGAGGAAGACCCTGGGTCTGGCCTCTGCAGTGGGTCAGTCGCTGGGCACCTGCTATGCCTGCCGGCACCATTATGAAAACATTTGGGTAAGCCTCTGGCGCTGGCCTCCTTGCTCTCTAGTCTGGCAGCCAGAGCTGAGACTACGTAAGGGCCGTGGTAAAGGCTCCTTCTCCAGGGGCCTCCTGACTGGGGCTTCTGTGTCTCCCACTGTCGGGACCGGAGTGTCACCTTTGTAAATAGCAGTAGGTGGTTTTGGATGTTCTCCCCAGGCAGGGCTCTGCTGTGAACCCTCCCCTTTGTGGGTGGGCAATTGAGACCCAGCCTGGGCTTGCCTCATCTGGGATATTACCAGGATTCGACTCCTGAAGCTTTTGAGATCCAGAAGGCAGGGGCAGAAGCTCCTGTTTTCCAGGGCTGCCTTCTTGGCTGTGAACTGTGGACATCATTGGTAAAGAGGTGACAGCTTGTCATTGACCTGAGAGTTTCCATACTAGATTCACGTGTGCTTCCTCCCACTGTTGGGTTCAGATGAAGCATCTTCATGGACTCTCTGAAGCTCATGTGTCTTAACTGGGCATATTTAAAGAGAATTTAAGACATAGCCAGATGATCTAACATCATTTTAACGTGCAAGACATTCGAGTGTGTGCACAGTATATCAAAAGGTCTGCTGAGTTATTCCAAGGCTTGCGTTCCAGCCCGGTCCACCACTTACTACCTGGGTGTTGAAGCCTTTCTGAACCACATGTAATGGGTGGGCACCATTCCTTCTGTCTGTGTCATAGGATTGTTATTAGGACCAAAATAATAAACATGAAAGCCTTTTGTAGAGACAAACGTTTTGAACAGCCACAAAGTGTTATAATTAGTAATGATAATGTCAAAAGGGCAACCAGGTTGGGATGTCACTTTATTTATTTATTTATTTATTTATTTATTTTTTGAGACGGAGTCTCACGCTGTTGCCCAGGCTGGAGTGCAGTGGCGCGATCTCGGCTCACTGCAAGCTCCGCCTCCCGGGTTCCCGCCATTCTCCTGCCTCAGCCTCCTGAGTAGCTGGGACTACAGGCGCCCGCCACCGCGCCCGGCTAATTTTTTGTATTTTTAGTAGAGACGGGGTTTCACTGTGGTCTCGATCTCCTGACCTTGTGATCCGCCCGCCTTGGCCTCCCAAAGTGCTGGGATTACAGGCTTGAGCCACCGCGTCCGGCCTGGGATGTCACTTTTAAAGGGTGACTCTTGGCTTAGCCCATTTTCCATTGTAAGGTTTTAGAATGGCCCCCTGTCCCCCATGCCTCAACTTTCTTGTTGAACTGAAGTCTGGTTTTCCAGCTAGTTCTTGGAATGTAGAGATTCCCATGTAAGATTTAAGTGCCCCCCTTCCCTCCCTCGCACACTCACTCATTCTGCAGAGTACCTGGCATCTGGGATGGGCTTAATAAGTTAGTAAAATGAATGAAACAGAAACGTCAGTCCTGCTCAGGAGGGTCTTGCTTCATCAGCTGCTGAGGAGCGGTCTTGGCAGCTGGATGCCCAAAGCACTGGCCAGGCTTGCAAGCCCTGTGTTTACCTTGGGCACTCAAAGGAGCCTCATTTTTAACGACTTGTTTGTGTCCTTACTGATTTGGTGTCAGGTTTAATATAAATAGTTGGGGCGGAAGAGCAGGAATTATCCTCAGAGGGCAGGACTCTGGTCTGAGTGGTTGAGGGGGTTGCCTGGGCTTTTGACGATGGCTATAAATAACCTAGAGCAAAAGCAACTTGTTGGTAGCAGCACGTGTAAAACCCCGGCACACAGACACACGCACAGTGTTGAGGTGTGTGCGAAGGGGGGTTGTGGAATTAGGCACTGGGCCCAGCATTTATTTTAGGGAGGAGAATACGGTGCTGGGTGCACAGAGCCCTCCCTGTGTCCTCGCCTTTCTGCACGGGCCCTTGTGTGTCCTGCCCAAGGTGGAGCTCATCTGCCTCCCGTTGGGCCCTCTGCTCTGGCCTCCGTTAAAAGAAGTCGGGCCCAGCAGATGGCCCTCTGCTGGCTCCGAGTGCTGCTTCCAGTTCTCTGAAAGGACTCGCTGATGAGGCCCGTTTTTGTGCGGAGCCATTGGAATCAAGCTTGGCTTCAATTATCAAAGAAAATGATGCCATAGGAAAGATATGCTGGAAGCAGTAGTCCGCAATTAGAGGATGGAAGCTCTGGTGAGGGCAGTCTGCTAAGATCCACTTGTAAAAGTTTGCCTGTTTTCAAAAGGCTCCGTTGCCCAGTGCTGTTGGAGTCCTGGCCCCTTGCCGAGTGTCCCTTGATCTTGCCTTAGAAAACGCTTGTTGAAGAGGGTATTGCCTTTTGGGCAGTGACCTTGTGAGTACATTTGCAGAGGGCTCTTGGAAAGCCCTGAACGCACAGACTTAGAAGCATATACTTTTGAAGTTGCATTGTTTTGAGAAGGGAACGTGAGGAGGAGGAAGAGGAAGAGGAAGAGGAGGAGGAGGAGGACCCCTTATGGTCAGTTCTATCGGGTCAGTTCTGTGTTCCCTATGTGGAGGCTCCCGTCTGGTATATGGGGCAGGGCAGGGCCACAGCATCTCATTAAGAGGAGATAAGAACAGGATAGGGGAAAACAGAAAGCAGCCGGCACCTCCTTTCCCTGAAGGTTCCAGGGGTTTCTGCCACCTGCAGGCTGAAAACCCTTTGCTTACTTGAGGATGCAGACCAGTCTGTGGATGTGAGGCTGTTGCAAAATCTGCACCATAGGCCTCTACTCTGTGTAGGAATTTAAAATCCTCGCAGCAACTGGAAGCACAACAGTCCTGAAGAAATAAAGCATCTGGGTACAATTACCGTAGCCTGGTTAAGTTTCTTCCCCCACCTTTTTTTTTTTTTTTAAAGTAATCACAAGAAAACAGCCCCACTCCGTTTTCTTAAAATTATGTGGCACTTTTGACAAAGGTCTGAGTTCTGAAAAACTGAGTCTCTGCCTCTCCCCACAACCCTGCCTCCTTTCTCTGCCCCGTCTTGTTATGATTGTAGGAAAATCCAAGTACTTTATTGCAGTCAACTGAGTTAAGAGCAGTATATTCCATTTTTAATTACTGGTCACACAGTAGTCCTCTATTTTGGAAGTGAAGGGAGACAAGTTTATTTTGGGATCCATGTGTTAAACGAGTGCAAAGCTGTGTGAGCACACATAGGGTTTGAGTTAGGTGTCTTTTTTGCTGGGAGGAAGGAATTTTCTATTGAGTCATTTTCTCCCCACAGAGGCTGAAGTATAGCTCTTATACTGGAGACATGGTTGATGTGTTAATACCACCAAGATAGCAGGACTGAAGGCATGGAAGAAAGAGTGTTTGAATGCTATTTAAGGCTGTTTTGGCTTTTTCGGTGCTGCACCATGCCTGTTAAACTAAAAAATTTTCCAGCAACCCATCTGATGGTCGTAGGTCCTTTAAGGAGAGTCAACAAGGTTTTGAGTCCCTGCCACGTGCCACTCGCTACTTTCAGCATCGGAGATTCGTGTGAGGACAGGGCTGTCCCTCATGGAGCTTACAGTCTGGTTTCACAGGACAGGTGTTCAACGTGGAAACACCAGTGTCCAATCATTATAAATCATGATAAAGATGATGAAGGAAATTAGGGTATTTGAGAAAATAGGAGCTCTCTGGTTTTGTTTTTGTGTGTGTTTTTTGTTTTTGCCTGTTTTTTTTTTTTTGAGATGGAGTTTCACTCTTGTTGCCTAGGCTGGAGTGCAATGGGGTGATCTCTGCTCACCACAACCTCCGCCTCCCAGGTTCAAGCGATTCTCCTGCCTCAGCCTCCCGAGTAGCTGGGATTACAGGCATGTGCCACCACACCTGGCTAATTTTGTATTTTTAATAGAGACGGGGTTTCTCCATGTTGGTCAGGCTGGTCTCGAACTCCTGACCTCAGGTGATCCACCCATCTTGGCCTCCCAAAGTGCTGGGATTACAGGCATGGGCCGCCACGCCCGGCTGGAGCTCTCTGTTTTTGTTGGCGCTTGGGTTTTTTTTTTGGAATTTTCCTGTGATTTTCCCCAAATTACTGTGCCTTTGTTGGTTCATTTGGAAACCTAAGAACTTGACGCAGAGGGCCAAGATCCAACTGCCTGCTCTTCAGGTGGGTGCCCACGTCTGGAGAGGTTGTGACTCAGCCCAGCAGTGAGCACCGCAGCCAAGTAGGCAGCCGTGCCCAGCCTCTGACTTCTGATCCCTACTGAGAATTTACAGAATGGCCTTATCACTGGATTCCTAACCAGAGGAAAAGGCTCCAAGGAAGTCATCTTGTGCATCCTGCTTTGAGGCCTCACTTACACACCCAGATGGCCGGGCACTTTGGCCTGTTTTAAAGACTTGGGTGATTTCACAGCCTGTCCCCACCTACTTTATGGATTTTCTCTGACCATTTAGAAGTATTTTTTTCTTTCTAACTTTTGAAGCCCGTTTCCCCTTGTTCTTCCTTTAGTGGGGATGCTGAACAGAGAGCCCTCCTTCTCAACTATGAGGCCTTTTTCACTGAATCAGCCTTCTCTTCTCCAGAAGAATGAACTGTTCTTTTCACCCTCACCACTCCTCTCTACCCTTGGTGTTGGGGAATTCCGGATTGAGGACACCTGGACCTGGAGGAAGGCCTGGAAGATCTTACCATTCTCATTTAATCTTCACCAAAAAGTCCTAGGATGTCGTGAGACTTCCTGCCCTCTACAGATATGAGAACAGGGTCAGAGTGTCCACGTGACAGTCACAAGTCACTTGGTCAAAAGTGTTGAGGGGTTCATGTGCAGCGCTGCTGATCTGCACCTTCTGGTCAGTTCTTTGCCTACAGCATATTTCTAAGATCTGACTTGATGCAGTTGGACAGGATCAAGGGTACAGCTGTGGTCCAACTCCTCTGGCCAAGTCTGACAAGGCCTTTGGCCCATGTCGTGCTCAGTTTCCTCCTTGGGTGTTTGTGATGATTACGGGGGTCCCTTCTGGCTTAAAAAGTTTATGGCCCTGTAACTTTTTGTGTTTGTTTGGTGACTCCACCTAGCGCAAACTCCTTAAAGGCAGGGACTGCCTCTCCCACCTTTTCCGTCCCACCATCCCCTGCTGAGACAGACCCTCACACCAAATTGTGGCGGTGGCTTCCCCCAGGGCTCCCTGCCTGCACCCACCCCTCCTTTCAGTCCAGCCTGGTAAAAGACCTTGGATCCTATGTGCTTTCTCCCTGCCAGTCCCCTGGCACCCCTGCTGTCCCCGGCCCCTCCCCATCCTGTTAAGACAGGACTCTTGACTTCGCAACTGAAGACCTACTTCCATGTCTTTGCCAGGCCTGCTTAGCCTGGCTAATTAGACCCCTCTCTCTCCCTAGTCTAGGGAGAGATTTTCACTGCCTTTCCCTTTACCTAGTCCTGGGTGTCATCTCCTCAATTCCTGCTCATCTATGAGTCCCATCTATCCCAGGGAGTCCCATTAGTCCCACCTGTCCCAGGGAGCCATCCCCAGCCGTCCCTCCCAGAAACGTTCTATCCATCATCTGGGTTACCTATACTAAGCCACTCCTTTCCTGCCCTTTATTCTATGAGAACCTGGAAACATGTTGAGTCTAGTCTTTGAATTGGGAGGCAGTCTGATTGAAAGCCAGGTGACTCAATCCATGCCCACCGGTTCCAGCTGTGTGATCTGGGCAGGCTGCTGGAATTCTGGACTCCAAGGGCCTCATCTATAGAATGGGCACAGTCCAGTGCTCCTTCTCCCCTCCTCGTGGGCCTGTAATAACACTGAGCGTACCTCCCTCATGACACCCCCACAGTATGCTGACATGCCCCCACCAGGCCCTGAGTGCCAGGAGACCAGAGTTCAGCACGTAGCAAGTGAGTAGGTGCTTGGTGAACATGTGCAGACAGCTGACTGTCACCTTTCTGGGTCCTTTTCATTTGCCAGCCCCATGGCCATCTTTACAGACCAGCTGCTGTGGACTCATAGAATATTTTCTCTTTTCTGAGCCTTTCTTTTCTCCCTCACTTGATTTCTTTGTTGCTGGCATAGACTTGGTGGGACCAGTGGAGGATGCCAGGGTCTTTGTGAACAGGCCTCCTGCGACTTCAGGCCTTAACGTGGTCCCTTACTGCAGCCTGCCGACCTATCTGCCCCTCCCCCCTACTTAAGCCCCTCACTGGTGACACAAGAGGAATGCAGCCCAGCAGGAGACATGCACACTGGTTGTTCTGGAAGGAGATCAAGAGGGTGAAATGAGGAGCCAGAGGCCATTGAAACAAAAGGGCTGGAGACACCGGAGGAGGGGCCTGGGCCTTCCTTTGAAACAGCTGTGTTGCTCATTTCACTCCTGCTGCACTAGCCAGCCCTGGGGAGAGGAAGCCGGGGATGGGGGAAGGGGCATGGCAACGGCTCATGGCAGAGCTCGCAGGTGGGATTGGAGTCCTGAACGTTGTCTTGAACTTTGCTGTCCCATCTGTCCAGCTCACCGTGGGCCCAGGGTCGAAGTGAGAAGACCACACTGGCCTCTAGCTGTTTGCATCTCTGGACTGGGCTAACAGACCCCAGACAAGGAGTTTGGATACTTAAGATGTCTTGGGGCCCTGAAATTGTATTCTTTGGTGCAGGATTGGATAGGGAGTTGGAGCGGAGAAAGATATTCCATCTCCACTGACTTGTTCCCCTGTTCCATTCCATGGCCTCCTCTCCTAAAGCAGAGTCCAGTTCCTTCCTCTCTCTAAGTGCATTTAGAACTTCACAGGATCCCCTGGGCTGCCTCTGGAATACCCTCTGCCCTGGCAGACCCACCACTGGGGGCAGAGGAACCAGCTTGCTTTCTCCCCAGGGTGATGAGCTGGTGGCTCAGGAGGCCTCCCTTTTGTGGCCTCTGCTTTCTGCCCAGGTGAGCAGCTAGACCCAGGCAGCAGGTTGGCGTTGAGCAGATTGTGGGATGGTGCGCTGGATTGTCCTGGGGTCACTTGATTACCTGGGTTTCTGGTGAGGGTCAGTGACTGAACCACTGTTGTACTTTGCCCATAGGTCCTTCAAGAGGAGCGATCCTGTTAATCCTTATCATGTAGGTTCCGGCTATGTCTTTGCACCAGCCACCAGTGCCAACGACAGTGAGATATCCAGCGATGCGCTGACGGATGATTCCATGTCCATGACGGACAGCAGTGTGTGAGTATCCTGGCCACCCTTCCGTGGGCTTGCTTGGGAATGGAAACCACCTGGGCACTTAGCCAGAATCGTCTGTCATCCTCACCTGGCTTTGCAGACCCCACCTGTGCGTACATCGGTTTGGTGGGAGGGGAGTATGACAAGGGTATGGTGCTGGTTAAGGAGGATGGGCCATCTGGGCAGGGTAAAGCTTAGAGCTTTGAAAGTTGGGGGGATATTGTAACAGAAGAAAACTAAAGGACAGTAGAAGATTAGGATGAATGAATATTTATAGATTCCTTGAGTTTAAAAAACCTTCTTCTGGTTGTCATCTGGTTGTCCCTGTGGGAACAGTTGCTTGGCTGGTCCAGAAACCCAGGTATCCTGTCTACAGAACCAACAGCTGGGAGACAAGGTGGCATTAGAAGGGTCTGTGTTAGGTATTCATTGTTTTTGGAGGAAAAGGCATTGCACGTGGGGGTGAGAAAGCCAGAAATCTCTAAAGAGCCACAGCGTGTAACATTCCGCACTGTTATGTTTTTAAATGGACATCGTTTATTCAGTAAGTGTGTGTGGAGTGTTAGATACTGAGGACCCTAAGTAGGGACTGTCTCCAAAGTCGTGTCTGATCTTGGACCTTTGGCAGACAGCCTTTGATTTTTGAAAGTCACCCAAGATATTGGCGTGGTCTGATGAGGTCAGAAGGCCCTTAGTCAAGGTAACGTTTTGAATTTTAGGTCATCTGAAGTCAAGTCATGGCAATCTCTGTGGATGGACAGCAGTGATCCTCAGTGAGTCTCACGAGGAGGGATGTGTAGCTGTGGCCTGGGTATCCCCGTCTCCTGCCATCCTTTGAGGTTTTGGTTCAGGAGACCCAGAGTGGAGCCTGGGGATGGGGGGGATGGCTGAAATTTCCCAAAGGTTTCGCACCCAACACCCGGTTGAGACTCATTGTTCCAGAAATGGTCTTTGAAAGCTTTTCAATGTTTTGGAGTCAGAATTTCGCCTGCTAAGGGAACAATTTTGAAAGGCAAACCCATTGAACCGTGTAAGTTCTGGCACACTTATTTAGAGTTTGTTCCTTTTAGCTTCCTAAAACTGGACCATCTATTCTTCCAGTTTGTTTGAAACTATCTGGTTTTCATTGGCCAATGTCCTGTTGCCTGGCCTGCGGGTGGCATGGGACCAATTGGAGGGAAAGTTGATGAGGTGAGTTTGGGAACCTACTATTTATTTTGCTGGTGTCTTTTATTGTGTTACCTCAAATTCCCTTGTTAGTAAAGGGAGAGAGATTCTTAAGGTGCAAGGTTCAATTTTAATAAAAATAGCATTTTGGCATTAATACACATCTTCCATCCAATATGGAAACAGGAAAGTACACACCTTTCATCCAGTATGGAGATATGAGAAGTTTCACAGAAGTCAGTTTTCCATATTGACCGAACTTTCAGTATCCATACTTGAAAAAATTATGCTTTGATAATTTTTTGGTGGACATATTTCTTAGAATACATTTGCTCTGTCATTATTGAATAGTATTAGACAGGGCATAATTTATCTCTCAGTTATCCAAATAATACCAAGATCTGTTTGTGTACTTTGTTGTAGTGGTTCTCTCATAGTCAGTGAGGGTGCATAGGGTTATCTGACCCTTTCCCCTTTGAAAAGTTTCTCTCTTTTCTCTTTTCATTCTCCCTGCTGTGATGTTTTGCTGTCTGTGTGCTTGCTTCTAGCAAACATTCCTCCTGTAGCATATATTAATTTGTGCATTGTGTGGGAATCTTAGCATTATGTGTAAAATAAGAGTAAGTTGAAATTGATTGAAGGCATTGAGTGAATCTCCTAAGTCAAATGCAGTTTACGTAAGATGATAAGACTTCTGTTTAGTTTTCTTAGAGACTATTTTTGGCTTGCTTCCTGGTCCTTGGCTGCATGTCAGTCCCCATCATTGAGGTGTTATTCTGGGTTCATGATGAGATAATTTGGGTGTAGTCCCATACTTATTTCTGTTTGATCCTAGCAAGACCCAATCAGAAAGGTAGGCAGGCAGATACCTGGGATTTTACAGATGAGGAAATAAGGTCTGGTGCTTCCACAGCCATGCACCTCTGAGACAGACCTCAGGTCCAGGCCACACACAGGCCCTGCACTTTGCCCGCTCTGCCCTTCCCCCAGGCACGAGCATTCTCAACATGAGATCTGTGAATAGGACCAGTTGGTCATGAGACCTTTGAGCCACTTTGGGTTTCTTTTATTTGTATTTCTTAGTAATCAAGACTGCTTTTTAGGAAGACTAGTTCAGGGAGGGGTAGAAGGGAGCAGGTTCTAAGTTCTCCCCTGCAGCCACCCCATTTACTTCCTCTTCTTTTATCCTCTTCCCAGAAGAAAAGCTTTCTTTTATTTAGAGGTGACTTTACAACTCTCACCCTTCTCCCTTTAGCTGAAGCACTTTGGATTCCAAGCATGGGGGAGCCACTTTTCAGGGATCAGAAAGGTTACCTTTGCCAGTCCCTATTCTAGGTGGCAAGGGTTAGTGTGTAGGTCAGTGAGGCCCACTTTGATACAGAGACAGAAGGGCAAGTCCCTCACATAGCAGCTTTCTCTTTGGGGGCATAGTAGATACCTTTAGGTCCCTGGTGGCAGAACCTGTTAGTGTTAATAAGCCTATCCTGTGGCAAAGCTGCCTTGGATGGATAATGAGTAAACCAGTAAGCCAGGAGGAAGTGCCTGCAAGGCCTGGAGACCCGTGGGCTCATGGTGTTGGCTCTGTTCGTCCTGGTGGTGTTGCGTGGCTCTGTGCTCTCTGCTAACCAAGTGCGCGGGTTATCAGGTTAACTGTCACAGTTGTGCCCACCTGGGCATTTATACTAATTGGGAGTGCATTTGGCATCCATATGGGATCACTGTCTCTTGGGCATTGTCTCACGCTGCCTCTAGTGGGGCTCACTAGAAAACATCAGAAGGGTCTCCAGACTTGTTGGCACTGACTCAAGCTGCCATTGGGTGCCAGGCATGGGGGTCTCTGGGGCCCTCCCCACTCTGCTACAAGCAGACTTGGCGATGCAACGTGTTCTCTGGCCGACTGGCCCTGGGTGTGTGTGATCCTGCCCAGTGCTGGGCGGTCACCCGGGATTCCCAGGGCTGGGATCAGACCCCCTCTTCAGAGCTCTGCCAATTGTGGGCCTCGTGCAGATGAGAGCGCCGGGCGAGAAATAAAGTGTGTGGGGGATGAAAAGCTGAACTGAATCGCTTTCAGCCCATTGTTCATCCCGGGAAGCTTAGAGGGGATAAGAGGGTAGCAGGCCCCTTTGAAATTTCCTTGAACAAGTGAATAGGAGCGCCCCATAAAGCATGAAAAGAGCCCTGGCTGTTTCTCCCCGTCACAATGGCCAGTGCGGGCTGTGAGGGGCTGGGGAGGGGGGCTGGCTGCCCTGCTGGGAGCTGGGGAGGGAACAGGGCTGGGGAGGGGGGAGGGGGAGAGAGGGGGTCACAGGCAGCCTTCAATAGACTCCAGAAGGTTGGAGTTCATTAGACACAAGCCCAGGAAAGCAATCGTCTCATTTGCGACAGAACCAATTAAGTCCCGGGGGCCTTTGCAAGAGGCCTGCGTAGAAGTTGGGGCAGTGCTGGCCTGCACTTGGTTATTCCAGGGAGCCACACGCCGGGGCCTGAGTGTGCAGAGCAGGCAGGGGCTTTAAAGAAATCATTGCCTTCTTCCAAAGCCTACTGCTGACTTCTGTTTTCCTGCTAAGTAAAAAGCCCTGTTAAAGATGGCTGGGGATTTGGGCCTCTGAGAAGGCTGTTTTATGAGCCTGTTACTCTGAAACCTGCATTCTCGGAAGAAATGGCTTAATTTTTTTTTCAAGACGGAGTCTCGCTCCGTCGCCAGACTGGAGTGCAGTGGCACAACGTTGGCTCACTGGAACCCCTGCCTCCTGGGTTCAAGCGATTCTCCTGCCTCAGCTTCCCAAGTAGCTGGGACTACAGGCGTGCGCCACCACGCCCAGCTAATTTTTCTATTTTTAGTAGAGACGGGGCTTCACCATGTTGGCCAGGATGGTCTCCATCTCTTGACCTCCTGATCCGCCCGCCTCAGCCTCCCAAAGTGGTGGGATCACAGGCGTGAGCCACCGCGACCTGTCAAAAAAGTTTTTTAACTTTAACTGCCAGACTCCCACCAAAATTCTTGCAGCACTGGAGGCAGAAGGCTTGTGGGGCCATTCCAGGGCATCAGGCTTAGAAAGATGGAGTGAAGGGGCAGAAAACATCAGAAGCAGCAGACTCTTTGCCGCCCAAGTGTAGCCATGGTTAGAGGTTGCCAGGAAGCATGAAAGCTAAGTCAGTGGCGTGGAGGCCTTTGTCCCTTTCTGCTAGGAGCTGCTCTTATAATCAGGATCAACATACGTTTGTATGTTGCTTTAGCTCTGAGTGTCCCCAGATCAGCACAAGATGATTTTTTGGTGTTCCACACAGGGAATGTCGTGAGTTATTTATTTGTATTTCTTTATATCTTATTTATGGGGGTTTACTTTGGACACCAGGAAATGCATCTGAGTGAACTTCAAATATTAACCTTTTCCTACAAACCAGGCTTTTGATGTTGGCTGTGATCAGAGGCTGCCTTCAGAGTGGTTGCCAAATGAAGATGCGAGTGGACGCATGTGTTCATGAGTCTGCTATTTCAAAGTCGCCAGAAAATGACATTCAGGGTAGGTCGGGCATGGTGAAGTCAAAAGGCTAAGCTAATTGGCTCGACTCAAATGGCAGCTAAGTGGAGTCCACACTTCAAAACCGTGCTCCCCAGAAACAGCTGGGCCTAGCAGCAGGCTCGTTAACTAAAATGTTTATAATTAAAGGAGACCGTATAGGAACCGAAACTCTGGTGCTCTCCAGCCTACAGGCTTGAGCAGCCAGGAAACTGATCATAGACTTTTAGAGCTTGAATAAAAGAAGAGAGGCCCCCTTTTGGAATGAGGGGCTGTTTTGGAAGAAGATTCTTGGCTGAAGGGAATTAAAGCCACATTTCCTTGAAGGCGTCTGTTAGCATTTCTGAGCCTCTATGGGCTGACATCTTCCTTTTCTGCTCTGGTTACAAGTTGCCTTTCCAGCAGTTTAGTCCTTCACCTGCCCTGGGTAATGGAGTGTGTGTGGTGGTGGTGATGGGGGCAGTATGAGGTGCTTATGAAATAATTTGTTCCTTTTGCCTTCAATATTGCAGTTAGCTACTCCCCTCCCCATCCCTACCCCCATCCTGGCTTTTTTTTTTTTTTTTTAAACCTTATTATATGGAAGAAGAAAAAGAGGCATAAGAGCTCTACCATTGACTTTCATCTGGGAGAAGGAAAAGGAGAAAAGAGTGAAAGCTACCAGTGGAAACGTCAGAGTCTTGGAGGGGGTGAATGGGGGACTCTTCTAGGACTCTTGAAGCCTTATGTCACTTGTGTCATGGTGGGGTCCATGGAGTGCTTGACTCCTGCCCCCAAGACTGTCAGGAAGAGGCCTGGAGCAGAGTCATCCACTGTCTTAAGTCCCCGAAAGAGAGAGCTCTAAGGCAGCAGAATTTGGTTAGACCAGCATGAGCCCAATCTGTGGGATACCGCCACCCCCACCATACAAGGTGTTTTAGGTGAGAGATGGGGATATTCAGCATGGCTTGGGAATCACCTGGCAAGCCCCATAGCTAGTGAGTACTATGAGGTTGGGGAGGACTTTCCAGAACATTCCACAGATTTCCTCCTCATCCCTTCTGAAAGGTGACTGCATGGGGCTTAGGAAATGGCACCTCCACATTCAGACCATTAGGAAGCTTGACTGCTGGTTGGGGCTGGGAAGGGCATCTTATTGAAATGAGGACCAAGTGTAGGTTGTTAACAGATGCTTGTTCTGGAGTCCAGCAGTAGCTTGGGTATGAGTTCTCAATCTGCTACTGACTGTAACACTAGGTGACTAATTGAGCATTTCTGGTCATCTGTAAATGTGGCTCATTAAGGTTCTTATGAGAATGAAGTCTGATTATAGGTCTGATGTCTGACCTACAGTAGGGACTCAGTATGTAGGAGCTGGCATTCTCAGGTTGGGATCAGTTGGCTTGGGTGCGATTTGGTTTCTGGTCAAGCCAGGCATGCTTGAAGTCCCATTTTCAACTGTGCCTGCTAAACTACCCAAGGTGAAGAAACAGAGTTTTGATAAATAATCTTTAGGTGGGCTTGGTCAAGTGCCGAGCCTCATGAGTAGGAGGCTGACTGGGAGATGTGTTTCTCCAGCACTGGTCAACCAGCTGCTGCTAATCTTTCCCACAGTGCTCTGTCTCTGCTCCATACTCACCTTTCTTTGGGGCAGTACTCACACTTGTGGGTAAGCTGTTGCTGTGGCTACTGATCTCTCTTCTCTCCCTTCCTTACTCCCCTCAATGCAATTATCCTTTATGCACTCCTTAGCCAGGCTTTGGTTAACATACATTGGTTTGTTGATCTATTGGAATCTTCATTGTCCCTTGTGTGGCCCCATTTTCTGACCTAGGTCAGCAGACTTCCTGAAAATGCAGCTACTTAGAATTCTAGGGCATTTGAGATAAGGAGCTAGAGGTTGACCAGTTACTCCTGGCTGCCTCCTGGGTATTTTTAGACATTGCTAATTATCCTAAAGTATTTTTCTTCCACCCTATGAAGAACCAAACATTGGGGAAAGGGAAGTAGCCAAACACCCAGTTTCAATATTTACAGCCTCCAAGTATGATTCATTATGAAAATGTTTGCACCCTGAGGCTTTTGTAAATAAGGGACCTCCTGAAGGGACATCAATGGGAAAATAGTCACACCTTGACCATTCTGCTTTTAAGAAGGAAATTCTTTCTGGAAAAAAATCATGGCAACTCCAGGTCATGGTTGTAGTGAACAGTAGCTGGAGTGGAGGCTTTTTAAACATTCTTCTACTTGTTAATGTTTTGTTTTTAAAAATACAATGGATAGGGGCCCAGACTTTTACAGGTCTTTGCCCAAAGGTCCCTTTCTCAATGAGGACTTCATTGACACCCACATCCAATTTAAATTTGCAGCTTACCCACCCGCCAGTGATTCTCCTTTTCCTGCTTATTCATAGTACATATCACTAACATACTATTTTTTATTTTGTTCATTGCCTGTGCCTCCCCATTAGGATATAGACTTCAAGAAAGCAGTTGTTTGAATTATGTATCCACTTTGTCTGCTGCTCTCTTGCCTAGTGCCTAGGAGATCTGGCACATAGTAGGTGCTAATCTTTAAATGGATTGCACAGACCACCACATAGTAGGGGCTTTTCTTTTCATGCCCACATTGGTCATGCATCTTTGAAAATTCGTTGGTTGGGGGGTGGCAGGGTTTGGAGCTGAGAGAAGGGGCCAAAATGTTATATATTCTTTTTATTAATCACCCTGTACTGGTTTATAAAAAGAATACATTTGGAAATGACTGGGAAGTTGACTTAGAGAGTTATGCATACTTCACTAATGCCTGATTTAGCCCTCTGTAGGTTTGGTCCTTATCCCTACAACTTTCTGCCCTGGCCCTCTCCATAAGGTACTGGTTCCTGGTTTGAAGCAGTGGGAACAAGTGGGAGGACCAATGGGGCCTGAGAATCTCCTACTTGGGGCACCTATAAAATAGGGGAGCCTTTGCTCTGCCTAGGCTGGCTGGAGTGTAACCCAGTTCTAAGACAGCAGCCCAAGAGATGAACTTTCCAGGCTCTTTCCAAGTCGATGCTCCTGCATCCGAGGGAGCCAAGTTTCCATAGATGATTGATGGGCAGGATTTAAATTTGATCTTGGGTGGATCCTTCCCTGTGGGAACACTGATGGTATCTGGAGACATGTGACACTCCTATGGAAGCATGTGACCCTGTCGGCGGGATCTTAAGATGGCATATGAGAGTAGCCCATGTGCTGAAAACATCCTTGTAAGCCTGTGGATTCTGTCTTTTTCTTTCCCTTAGAGATGGAATTCCTCCTTATCGTGTGGGGAGTAAGAAACAGCTCCAGAGAGAAATGCATCGCAGTGTGAAGGCCAATGGTCAAGTGTCTCTACCTCATTTCCCGGTGAGTACAGTCTGGAGTGAGGAGACACCTGTTTTCTGCCATGTTGAGTCCTAAAGAAAAGGAGTGGGAGGTGGAAGTTGGGAGGTATAGGGAAGGTAGAAAAGAGCAGTCCCTAAGGTCCCCTAGGGCAAAGGGAGAGAAAAGAAGAACTGGACAATAGGCATTACATGTTTTTTGGGTTGTGATAGTGAGCACAGTAATGTGATTATGAGGTTGTCAATCAGTTTTGCTATAAAGGAATACCTGAGGTTGAGTAATTTATAAATAAAAGAGGTTTATGGCTGGGTGCAGTGGCTCACGCCTGTAATCTCAGCACTTTGAGAGTCTGAGGCGGGCAGATCACCCTAGGTCAGGAGTTCGAGACCAGCCTGGCCAACGTGGTGAAACCCCACCTCCACTAAAAATACAAAAATTAGCTGGGTGTGGTGACATGCGCCTATAGTCCCAGCTACTTGGGAGGGTAAGGCAGAGGAATCACTTGAACCTGGGAGGCGGAGGTTGTGAGCTGAGATCATACCGTTGCACTCCAGCCTGGGCGACAGAGCGAGACTGTCTCAAAAGAAAAAAAAAAAAAAGAGGCTTATTTGGTTCACAGATATGCAGGCCGTACAAGAAGCATGGTGCCAACATCTGCTTCTGGTGAAGGTTTCAAGAAGCTTTCAATCATAATGTAAGGGGAAGGGGAGCCACTGTGTAAAAGAGAGAGAAGCAGCAAGCTAGGGTTGGGGGTGGTGGTGGGCAGTGCCATGTTCTTTCAAACAACCAGATCTCATATGAACTAACAGGGAAAACTTGCTCATTGCTGCAGGGAGGGCACCAAGCACCCAAACACCTCCCACTAGGCCCACTTCCACCACTGGGGATCATATTTCAACATGAGATCTGGAGGGGACAAACAGCCAAACTATGTCAGAGGTTTGATGACCTATTTTTGAACCTTTGCATTTTCTGAATTAAAAAAAAAAAAAAAAAATTCCCTATGAGAAAGAAACTGAAGCACTTATTTCCCAGAAACCAAGAAATGCTAGATGATCCATGCTTCTCTACAGCTTGGTGAGCTCACTGTATTTCCACTAGAATGGAAGCCCTCTGTGGGGAGGGGAGGAGTTTTATCTCTTCTGTTAACCTCTGTATGCACAGAGACTATAACACTAACTGACACATAACAGGTGCTCAGTAAACATTTGAGTGAATGAATAAGGAACCTCTGCCCCCTTGGGACAGACACATAATAGGTGCTCAATAAACATTTGAGTGAATAAGGAACCTCTGCCCCTTTGGGACATTCTCCTGCCCTCCTCACTGGGACATTCTACTGTGTCAATCACAGGACTCCAAGTCATTTTAGTCAGTGATTTTAGTCATTCATTTATGTATTGATTGACCATTTCTCCTCCTGGCTTCTGAAGCCCTGGAGAGTAGCTGTTCCTTTCCAGCTCCAGAACTTGGCTTGGTACCTGCTGGTGAGTCTGTGCCTATCAAATACAGAATGAACGAAGTGTTTAGAAGTGAGGATCTCCTGAGCAGCTTCTTCCTGTAACTCAGATGGTGGATGAAGGGCTTTTCTGGGACCTCTCCTTTTATTTCCATGCCTGCTAAAGCAGCCAGCACATGGCTGTACTCAAGAGAACTTCCCCATCTACATTCCCATTTTAGGGCTGTGCTGTTTACCATAGCCTCAGATCCAGGTTGCAGTGACACTCTTCTTTAAGGAAGGGAAGAAAGCACCCAGCTCACAGCAGGTGTTTATGAATCCTTCCTGCCAGCTTCAGAGAATCCCATTGGTCTTCTGGTTATGTTGTGTTTAAAAAATTAACACATTGAATTGCTAAACCTATGTTGCATTAGTGCACGAACTGTAGCTCTTCTCTGAAAGCCCCTCACACGGACAAGGGCACACTTACCTTGTTTTAAAATTAGCATATTGAAATTGCTTTTCTGAGGACCTCTAGCATTCCCCCTCCTCCACAGTTAGTAAGTATTGATGACATACTATTATTGTTTTTTTGACTGGGGGATATGTGTGTTAACAAAGAAAAGTTCTATCGCCCAGGCTTGTAAATTAGATGATTTTGTCCTGGGGTGTGCAAATCGACTTTCTCCATCAGGCAGCGCTTTGATCGGGGGCTGCAAGGAGCCAGCCTGTGTGAGAATGGCCACCTACACAGGAGCCTTTCTCTCCCCTCTCAGTTTCTGCAGCTAAGTGGTTGCCGTGGCAAGGCCCATCTTTGCAGCTGGGGGACATGCTAGCCTTTGCAAGTTAGCTTTCTGCTCCCCCCACCCCACCCCAAAGGAGCCAAGCAAGAGGGAGATTAGGAAGGAGGTAGAACAACTGGAGAGGTGGGGGGTTGGGTGGGGGGAGCGAGATGACAGGAAAAGGACAGAAAGCTGGGCAGCAGGGGTTCTCTCTGTTTGCTGCTTTTGGCAGGCGTACTCGGTGCCTTTTTATATTCTGCACTTGATTTGGAGATGTTCCCTTTTCCCTTGATAGATCAGCTTCAGGCAGCCAAGCTCAGCAGTGTTCTGCTACTAGCCTGCAGCAGCTTTCTTCATTTTCTGTACAAAGAGAGAGGGAGGAGGGAAGGAGAAAAACGAGGGAGATCGAGGACAGTGTTGAGACAACACCACCTCAAAGGTGCGCAGTGTGCGGCCAGGAAATAAATTACCACTTCTTCTCTGATCCAGGCCGTTTGACTCCCTTCCCCCCCCCCCTTTCCTCCCTCCCACCTCCTTTCCAATCTTATTTTTTTAAATTTTCAACTCCCTTTCTGTTTAGATTCTACTTTTTATTCCTTGAGTTGGTCTCTCCCCTCCCTACCTCAGAGGGCTTCCTTTTTTTTTTTTTTTTTTTTTTTTTTTTTTTTTGATGTTTGACAACAGTCTTTGAAGATTTTCTACTTCAGAGTAGCTACTGATGGGCTGGTTGTACTACAGAGAGAACAAGCAGGGCCTCTCGGAGTGCGACCAACTGCTCCTGCCCAAGGCAAACGCTGGTGGGGACCATGGCTCTCCATGAGGCCATGGCGTTAGCGCATAAAAGTCCCGAGCAGCCCAGGCCGCCTTGCCATCCACTCTCCACCCGAACATGGGTTTGCGGTATGCAGCGGCCGGTGCAGGAAGCTCCGGCCAAGCCACCGCCCGCCCGGCCTGCTGAACGTGCCTCCTCCCTTTTCTTTCCACGTCCTGTAGAGAACCCACCGCCTGCCCAAGGAGATGACCCCCGTGGAACCCGCCACCTTTGCGGCTGAGCTGATCTCGAGGCTGGAGAAGCTGAAGCTGGAGTTGGAGAGCCGCCACAGCCTGGAAGAGCGCCTGCAGCAGATCCGAGAGGTAATGCGGCCTAGGCCCTCTCCCTGTTTCCGTTCACGGCGTGCGCGCACTATGAGTATGCGCATGCGTGTGGGTGCCTGTGGGTGTGTGCATGCGTGTGGGCTGCGTGCGCATGTGCGTGTGTTGCGTGTGGGTGTGCGCATGCGTGTGAATTGCGCTTTTATAGATAGGCCTGTGCGTGTGCGCATAGGCGTGGCTGTGGGCGTGCACATGGGTGTACGTGCTCCTGCGTAGGGGGCGTGATGTGGCAAGCCCAGGGCCTCGGGCCCTCCTGCTTCCTGGGTCACTTCCCCTTCTGACGTCTTCCGTTTCAGGATGAAGAGAAGGAGGGCTCCGAGCTCACACTCAATTCTCGGGAGGGGGCGCCCACGCAGCACCCCCTCTCCCTACTGCCCTCCGGCAGCTACGAGGAAGACCCGCAGACGATACTGGACGATCACCTGTCCAGGGTCCTGAAGACCCCTGGCTGCCAGTCCCCGGGCGTAGGCCGCTATAGCCCCCGCTCCCGCTCTCCGGACCACCACCACCACCACCACCATTCGCAGTACCACTCCCTGCTCCCGCCCGGTGGCAAGCTGCCTCCCGCGGCCGCCTCACCGGGCGCTTGTCCCCTCCTCGGGGGCAAGGGCTTTGTGACCAAGCAGACGACGAAGCATGTCCACCACCACTACATCCACCACCACGCCGTCCCCAAGACCAAGGAGGAGATCGAGGCGGAGGCCACGCAGCGGGTGCACTGCTTCTGCCCTGGGGGCCCGGAGTATTACTGCTACTCGAAATGCAAAAGCCACCCCAAGGCCCTGGAAACCATGCCCGGCGAGCAGTTTGGGTAAGTGCCGGGCAGACCACAGTGTCCCGTGTGGGGCTTCTCTCCCAGCCAGGTCCATGGGCAGGTGTGAGGTGGGAGCCTTATCACAGGCGTTTAGTTTCTAAGAGGGCACGGCTGGGTGAGGGTGTGGGGAGCAGGTGCATGGGATTTTCGTGTCACCGCCCACCCCACTTGCTGAATTGTCTGATTCTAGGAGTCCCGGAGATTTAACCGGGTCTCTGGGTTGGGTGTGGTTCTTGGTTCCCCACAGCGGCAGCAGAGGCAGTACCTTGCCCAAACGCAATGGGAAAGGCACGGAGCCGGGCCTGGCCCTGCCCGCCAGGGAAGGAGGGGCCCCCGGCGGAGCTGGGGCCATGCAACTTCCCCGGGAGGAAGGAGACAGGTCGCAGGATGTCTGGCAGTGGATGCTGGAGAGTGAGCGGCAGAGCAAGCCCAAGCCCCATAGGTAAACACCACTTGCCGCCGCCGCGGCCGCGAGGGTCATGGGCACTCAGTACGGAGGTATTGTGGGAATGGCTGTTTTTGCAGTCCGCCGAATACAAATGTGACTATTTGCTCCTGCCATCTTAATATTAAACGTTGGACTGAGCAGACCACAAAAATGTCATGTTTTGGCACTGACCCCTGTTCGTGTTATGGTAGTTATTTTTTTCTTCTCTCTCCCTCTGAGCAGAATAGACAAGTTTCTATTGAAGTCACATTTTCCAGTTCTTCTAACCCAGTTTCTTTCCTTCTGTTTTCTCTCTGCTCATTCCTTGTTTAGTGCCCAAAGCACAAAAAAGGCCTACCCCTTGGAGTCTGCCCGCTCGTCTCCAGGCGAACGAGCCAGCCGGCACCATCTGTGGGGGGGCAACAGCGCGCACCCCCGCACCACCCCCCGTGCCCACCTGTTCACCCAGGACCCTGCGATGCCTCCCCTGACGCCACCCAACACGCTGGCTCAGCTGGAGGAGGCCTGTCGCAGGCTGGCTGAGGTGTCAAAGCCCCCAAAGCAGCGGTGAGTGGAAGTGAGGGATCCTAGTTGGGGCAGGGATTGGGTTTGGGTGGTGACCTGGTCTGTGGCTAATGGGGAGGGCCTCTCTTTCTGCCTGGGTCTCAAACCCTCCCATGAGAGGAAGAATTGCTTATGGATGAGTAAGCTTCTCCTTTCCAGCTTCTAGAAATTGTTCCCTTCAGTTATGTTCATTCTACCAGAGTTAAGCCAGGATCTGTGAGGCAAGTCATGCCTAGAATTGGGAGAATGAGTTTCAGTAATTCCTTACAAAGGCCATTTCTTACAAATGTCTGGATTGTTTAAGGCTGGTTAGTTGAGCGTGTAAGAAGCTACGAGATGGAGGAACAAGAGTCCTCAGCCCTTTGCTGGGGCTAAGTGTCCCGTCCTGGGCTCCCAGAGGGGCTTAGAATGGCTGTTGCAAGATGTCTGCCCAGCCTCCTCAGCCACTGTTAACCCAGGGTCTTGGTTGGGTTTCCATAGGGATGGAAGTCGGTTTCGTGTCTCTTCAGGAGGCCAAAGAGTAATTTTCTGTCTGCTCCTCAATTGCTCTGGGGACAACAGTGCACCTCTAAATCCCTCGCCCTGGCTGTGTCCTCAGGTGCTGTGTGGCCAGTCAGCAGAGGGACAGGAATCACTCAGCCACTGTTCAGGCGGGAGCCACGCCCTTCTCCAATCCAAGCCTGGCTCCAGAAGAGTGAGTGTCTTTACCTGGCATTACTGAGATCTGCCGAGTGGTTTATGTTTCAGAGTATTCGCTATCTGGAGTTTCATTTTCGTGAAACTTTTTTTGGTTTTTGAAATCACCTTGATTTTAGTGCTAGTGATGAGGAACAGTAAACATAGATGTGGCCATCCATGTCCTACTGACAAATGCATCATAGCGAAAGTTTTTTTGGTCATACACAAATCAAAAGCTGGGACACGCAGCCATTAGAAGGGTAGAAGGGACCTCAAATTCAGCTGGAAAAGTTGCCGCCATTCAACTTGCAAGTTAGTAGTACTGAAAACATTTGTCACCCTGAGCAGAAGGATCATTCTCCACTGTGGCAGAGATGGAGGGGACCATCCTCGTGTTTTTGCTTGGAGAAGACAGAATATCTTCCCCCAAATTGGGCAGTGATTCTTTATGTAAATTTAGTCTCATTCAGAGTAGATTGAGAGAAGCCTGCTCAGTTTAGTTACTGGATGGTGCAATTAAAAAGAAATCTGCTAAAGAGATCTGAAATGGTCCGTAGAAAGTTTTCTTTCTGTGTCTTCATCCTGAGCAGTGAGCAATGTTTGAAGTCCTCAGTAGGTCACTACCCTGGATCCTTTCATTGTTTCAGTTGGTTGACCCTAAGTGTACCAGCCGTCCGGGTCTGGGCCAGCCACTTTTTTTTCTTTTTTTTTTTTCTTTTTTTGGAGGCAGAGTCTCGCTCTGTCACCCATGCTGGAGTGCAGTGGCGCGATCTCAGCTCAGTGCAAGCTCCACCTCCCGGGTTCATGCCATTCTCCTGTCTCAGCGTCCCGAGTAGCTGGGATTGCAGTCACCCACCACCACGCCCAGCTCATTTTTTTTTATTATTTTTAGTAGAGACAGGGTTTCACCATGTTGGCCAGGCTGGTCTCGAACTCCTGGCCTCAAGTGATCTGCCCACCTCAGCCTCCCAAAGTGCTGGGATTACAAGTGTGAGCCACCACGCCCAGCCTAGCAGCTTTTTTTTCAGGCTACTCTACAAAATCTCAGAATAAATGGGGACATGGACATGACTGGGGGCTACCCGCCGTTAGTTGTTCTCATTCTACTGGAATAAGGGGTGGGCTTCAGGCATTCTGAGTTCATGCCATCCCAAAGGTGTCCTGCTCTGGGTTTGTCTCTTTAGCACTCTCCAATCCAGGTGAGACCCGGCATCTCTGTGATAATTTCTCTTCTCTCATCTTCTTGGGGAAGCACGCCATTTATGCTAACCTGAGAGAGGCCGCTGTGTACCTTCATTTGGTGGCAGTGGGGAAAGCGATACCAATTCGTACTACTGAAAGGAGATCATCCTTTTCCGCGTGCTCCATGCAGAGCATGTGGGCTTGGACTGTGTGTCCCCCAGAGCTGCCTGCCTCTGAGATGTGGGGCTCTGCCCCAGCCCCCACTTTAACTGCAACCCTAGTGTTTGGATACCCTGTCACTTACGCACATGTGCGCACGTGTGTGTTTGCTTTAGATGTGTGTCTGCTTTAAAATGCTGAACTTGTTCCATTCCATCTTATTTTCAGTCACAAAGAGCCAAAGAAACTGGCAGGTGTCCATGCGCTCCAGGCCAGTGAGTTGGTTGTCACTTACTTTTTCTGTGGGGAAGAAATTCCATACCGGAGGATGCTGAAGGCTCAGAGCTTGACCCTGGGCCACTTTAAAGAGCAGCTCAGCAAAAAGGGAAATTATAGGTAAGAGTCCTGTGGCTTTTTTCTGCTTTCAGTTTGTTTGCTCAGAACCAAGAGCCAGAGCCTGGAGCAGCTCCCCTGGCTGAGCAGACCTGGGCGGGGCAGGGTGGAAGGGGGCTCAGCAGGCGCTGGGGGAGGCTCCTTCTCATTTCTTGTCTCCCCTCACCACTAGCAGAACAATGAAGCAGCAGCCGCAAGAGGGACGCTGCATGGAGGGTTCCCTGGGGGACCTGGCCAGGCTCTTTCCACCAGGTGAACCAGACTGAGGAGAAAAGGAGCAGCCGCTTGCTCTGACAGGAGGAGAGTGGGGCTCAGGCCGCACTGCAGAGGCTTTACCTGCAATTGAAGGGCTTGTGGGCGAGCGGGGAGCAGGGAGAAAAAAGAGGGACAGGCAGGTTGATTAGGAGGGAGGGTCTGGAAGCGCCACCCTCCTGGCTTGAGTTTAGGAGAGACCCTCACATTGAAGTCTCCAAATAGGAACCATGCCTGGGAAAGGTCCCCCCTGTTTTTCTCAGGCTGCCTTTCCACCTGAAGAACCTCCCTGGGTTTTATGGGCCATTAGAAGCAGGGATGCGCCTTTGTCCATAACAAAGAAGGGGCTGGACCTGTGAGTGGGCACAGGGTGAATAGGGCAGTCCACTCTTCCTGCCCGGGCCTGGGCCTCGTTGCCTTCTCCCCTGCAGGGGCTTCAGGAAGGGAACTTACTGGTCTCCTCACCTTGTCTGCAGAGTGGACGGAGGTGCCCTTGAGAAGGTCCTTGCTGACCTTTTAGGGCCCTTGAGAGGGTTCAAGAGCTGAGGAGCATGAGGGCCAGCCCTAGGCCATTCCTTCTCTTGATCACTTCCTCCTAACAGCAGGTGATGACTGCCTCAGTTCATCCTGAGTCCTCCCTTGTCCCTGTCCGTGGCCTGCAGCCCGAGAGAACCTGTGGATTCTGCTCCAGTTCTGTCTCAGGTTTAGGGCTCCAGGCTGGGACAAGGGTGAGATAGGGGCACCCTAGTTTAAGCAGGTGCTCACTCTGGGGTCTACACCCGAGAGAGAGTTCCACCTCCTCAGCTGTGTGCCGTGGACCCTGTACAGGACCACAGTCTATGCCCAGGTGTGAACCCATTGCCGCCACCAGGGCCAGGGATGTGAGTGGAAAACTCTGAATAGCACTTGGTAACCTGCCAGGTGGGCATATGGGCTCCTGGATGGGAATGAGTCCACCTGCAGGGCTCTGAGGCGCCCTCCCCTCTAGGGCAGGCCCTGTGTAGTTTTACTGCCCCTTCATCTGGGAGTTAGTCTGGGCGGGGGCTCAAGGTGAGCCCCTCTTTGGAGCGGGAGGGGATGGAGGTCGGACTGAGCCCCTCTTCGGAGGGGGAGGGATGGAGGTCGGACTGAGCCCCTGGAGGTGACTGGCCAGCAGGGCGTGTTGCTGGGCCTGGATATTCCCTTTTACACCTGGGCGGAGACAATTGTGAAAAGGTATCAAAGGGATGGGGGAACAGGCCTGGCTGCTGCTGCTGCTGCTTTTATCTTGAAAAGACACAAGGTGAAACTAATGACACAAGTGTGCCCCTCTGGGGATTCATTTTGATCTTGGCTTTGTCTCGGCTGGACTTTGAGTGGAACTGTAGGTGACCTCGGAGAAGAGCCATGTGGCGCTGGCATAAGCTTGCGGGGAAGGTGCCTCCCTCAGCTGCTCTGGCCACATCTGGCTCTGATTTTTTTTTTTTTTTCTCCCTGAGGCACAGTTAATAAGCCTGGCTTTGAAGCTCTGGCCTCCCCTTTAATGCACAAAGACTTGCACAAATGGTCAACCCTCCGATCCTCTCCAGTTCTTTCCTGAGTGCATCAGGCTGTGGGAAGGCCCTCCCAGCCGCCTTATCTCTGCAGGGCCTGAGCTGGACTCAGTGCCCTCCTGGGGTGGGACAGGGACACAGGGTGTCATGCCTCACCCTCCCAGCAGGGCTGGTGCTCCAACATCTCAATTTGTACAGATACATCCCCCTTCAAAAAAATAAGAAAGACCCAGTGAGGTTGGGGCCGTGGAGCAGGGGTGGGAGGTAGGGGGACCTGGGATGCGTTGAGTAATCTCAACATGGCAGGGGTTCAAAAAGCAAACAGTCCCTTCAGACGCGCCAGACGCTATTGGTGCCAGATGTCAGAAGAAAGCAAAGTTTGCCACATAAAGCATGTTGCAGTGGAAAAGCCTGTTTCTTGGAGAAAATGAGGGCAGTGCAGTGTGTTTGAAGTCCTGGGGGTGGGGCCGAGAGAATGTGGCCTCTCTCCTCTCTGGAGGAGGTTGCAATTATGTAAAAGGTCGCTGCGTGTTTGCTCAGACATGCTGTGAAAGCCCCACTTGGTGAACCCCGGAGGGGTCGGAGCTGGGGGAGCTGGGGCCAAAGGGGTCTGACGGAGGGTGGCGTTGAGGTTTGAGCCCCTTACGTGGAAAAGTGACTTTTCCCCCCACTGTCCCAGGTCTCCTGTGCACAGAGCCCCTCCCCATTTTCTCACTGTCTCCTCTCACGCTCCCCCGAGAATTTTGACCCCTTGACATGAAGTGTCTTCAGTGCTGCCCAGTCAGAGCCATGCCGTTGTTCACCCCAGTGCATTAGCTGGGTCAGGAATGCTAAAAACAAAGAACCTTGACTAAACCCAGCTGTTCACTGTATTTAGCCTTATCTCCTACGAAAGTATTTGGCTTGCCTTTATTAAAGAGGAAAAAAATTGAGCTCTAACTAAGGGGAGTTAATTTTTTTTTTTTTTAAAGGGAAAAGACAAAAACAAAGCCCAACCATAACCCTGAGACACAATTAAATGTTTGAAAGGTTCTCCCATCCCCCCAGGGGACTGTGACCTTCCCTCTGTGAGTGGCCTTTATGGGCTGGAAATGACAGCTTGCAGGGGCAAGTTTAATCCCTCTGAGGGGTCTCCCTTGGCTGGGGACAGGGAGGGAAGAGGCCCTCGCTTAATTTCCTCAGAAGGGGTTTGGGGGTGGGCCTGGCCCGAGAGGACAGCAGTTGTTTCCGAATGTGGCACTCCTGAGAGAGGCCAGGCATTTGCATCTGTACAATTAAACAGCCTCAGAAGAAAGAATGCTGGGGAGGGATAAAAGGAGCCTTTAATCAACGGGCATAATAGAAGGGCCTTTGGTGTTTGACCCTGGAGGGGTGGGATGGGAGAAGAGGCCTGGAAATGGGGAGAAGAGGGAGGGCATCATGGGGCCTGTGCCGTCTGTTCGGCCCTGGGAAGCTGCGCTGGGGTGGCTTGCCTCCTGTGTGGCTGTGCCAGGGCCGTCCAGGACTGTTGCACTTGGGCCCTGGAGGATGGGAAGGCCGAGAGGCCTCCGGACTGCTCAAGCATCTGGAATTCAGCCTTTCACAGACTTCGGCAGGTTCCGCCTCTCCAGGTGGTGGGTTCACAGACTTCGGCAGGTCCTGGCTCTCCAGGTGGTGGGTTCAGGATGTGGCTGAACCTAGAGATAGTCTGGAGTCTCTTTGAAGGACCTGCTTGGCTGCTGCTGCAAATTAACTGCAGGCATTTGTCCTTTCCTTCCCTCCTCCACCCCGCTGCTGAAAAAGGTTGGGGGGAAAAGCAGGTCTGTTTTCCACCATGTATGTGTGTCAGGAGATAGCAGAGATGCTGGGCTGAAGATTGCAGGTGGCAGGTCCGGCCCAGGCTGCTGCTCAGTGGGTGCCCGGCTTTCGTCATCTCGGCCCACCTGCTGCTTGTGGTGTGGCCAGTCCCATTTGCCATCTTAAAGCAGTTACGGGCAACAGTGTACATGCACACCTGCCATAGCAAATTCCTAGGATACCTCAGTCCTCCATGTTGGCATGCTTTTCTTTTCAACAATGTGGAAAATGCAGTTTACCAAGAAGCTTTTCTGGTTTTCCTTTTAAGGTATTACTTCAAAAAAGCAAGCGATGAGTTTGCCTGTGGAGCGGTGTTTGAGGAGATCTGGGAGGATGAGACGGTGCTCCCGATGTATGAAGGCCGGATTCTGGGCAAAGTGGAGCGGATCGATTGAGCCTTGGGGGTCTGGCTTTGGTGAACTGTTGGAGCCCGAAGCTCTTGTGAACTGTCTTGGCCGTGAGCAACTGCGACAAAACATTTTGAAGGAAAATTAAACCAATGAAGAAGACAAAGTCTAAGGAAGAATAGGCCAGTGGGCCTTTGGGAGGGTGGGGGGAGGTTGATTTTCATGATTCATGAGCTGGGTACTGACTGAGATGAGAAAAGCCTGAACTATTTATTAAAAACATGACCACTCTTGGCTATTGAAGATGCTGCCTGTATTTGAGAGACTGCCATACATAATATATGACTTCCTAGGGATCTGAAATCCATAAACTAAGAGAAACTGTATAGCTTACCTGAACGGGAATCCTTACTGATATTTATAGAACAGTTGATTTCCCCCATCCCCAGTTTATGGATATGCTGCTTTAAACTTGGAAGGGGGAGAGAGGAAGTTTTAATTGTTCTGACTAAACTTAGGAGTTGAGCTTGGAGTGCGTTCGTGGTTTCTTCACTAACAGAGGAATTATGCTTTGCACTACGCCCCTCCAAGTGAAGACAGACTTTTAAAAATGGTGCCCTACCATTGACACACGCAGAAATTGGTGCATTTTTTTTTTTTTCCTATGCTGCTCTGTTTTGTCTTAAAGGTCTTGAGGGTTGACCATGTTGCGTCGTCATCAACATTTTGGGGGTTGTGTTGGATGGGATGCAGAGGGAGAGGCAGGGAACCCCGCTCCTTGGGGCCCCAGGTTGATCCTGTGACTGAGGCTCCACCTCCTGTAGCCTCCCCAGGCCCAGGGCCCCGTGGCTGAGGCCTGCTAGAATCACTGCCGCTGTGCTTTGTGGAAACGACAGTTCCTTGTTTTTTTTTTGTTTCTGTTTTTGTTTTACATTAGTCATTGGACCACAGCCATTCAGGAACTATCCCCTACCCCGCAAAGAAAATGAACAGTTGTGGGGAGACCCAGCAGCACCTTTCCTCCAGACACCTTCATTTTGATGTTCGGGTTTTTGTGTTAAGTTAATCTGTACATTCTGTTTGCCATTGTTACTTGTACTATACATCTGTATATAGTGTACGGCAAAAGAGTATTAATCCACTATCTCTAGTGCTTGACTTTAAATCAGTACAGTACCTGTACCTGCACGGTCACCCGCTCCGTGTGTCGCCCTATATTGAGGGCTCAAGCTTTCCCTTGTTTTTTGAAAGGGGTTTATGTATAAATATATTTTATGCCTTTTTATTACAAGTCTTGTACTCAATGACTTTTGTCATGCCATTTTGTTCTACTTATACTGTAAATTATGCATTATAAAGAGTTCATTTAAGGAAAACGACTTGGTACAATAATTATTGTAATTAAGAGATGTAGCCTTTATTAAAATTTTATATTTTTCAAAACATTGGCCTTGTGTTTGAATCCTCAGGGTGGGCACAGGGCCAAGGGGCCCTTCCATGTGTAGGCGTCTGTGCTTGATTTCCCACCTTGCCCAAGCCCGTCTCTGACCTCGAGCCCTGACCTGATCTGGACCCACCTGGAGGTTTTGTAAAACCATTTCTTCAAATCACTTGGCTACTGGCTGAGACTTTTGTTGCCTTGGAGCAGGCTGTAGACAACATCTCCTTTGGGAGTCCTCTTCCCTCTAACACCTCCATTCAGCCTCTTCCTCCTGGGCAGATTGTCTCCAGTCCAGCCAGGTAGGTACAGGGGACTAGGGGATGAGAGGAGGCCCTCCCAGGAGTACTTGGCATTTCAATAGGTGTCTCCGACATGAAAGCCGTTCAGCAGGTGGTTTCATAGACCTGGAATGTCCACGTGGGGCCAGTGGACTTAGAGATCAAAGCTAGCCAGGCACCCTCCCCATTCTGGGAGCTGATCAACAAGGCTGACTATTAATCCTATCTGACTATTTTATCGTGGGCCATCAGGCCCAGGGCTGGTCAGGTGTCAGGAATATAGCAAGCAGGCGGTGCAGGAGGAGGCGACACGAGCAGCTTCTGCTCCACTCAGTGGATAGGTGTGCTTCTGTGGCCGAGGACCTCGGCAGGCAGTTGCCCTCTCAACAAACATGCCCTCCCTGTACCCTGAGCACTTGGCATGCCAGGCCATTCTTCAGATCTGGGAAAGCAGGTCTTTTTAGTGGAGTCCTAGGAAGAACCCTTTTTAAAAAGAGAGGATCTGTAACTGCAGTTGGACTTCTTGTGTGCTGAGTTTTCATGAAACGAACTCCGTGGTCTGCAGTGGATCTGGTTGGCTTGTTCTTCCCGCTGCCAACTGGCATCAGGCCGGCAGCATAGAGAAAGGCCAGGGTTCTGGCCATGTGGGGTAGGGATGGACTCAAACCCAGTAGCCTCTGCGTGGTGGCAGTAGTAGGAGTTGTCAAGGCTGCTGGGAGAGTCCTGAGTTACCTTCCGAGAGGGCGAGGGTGTGAGGGCATCATCTGGCGAGAGGCTGGAGGAGCTCTCTGATTCTTTGAACTTGCCCCTAACCATGAAGGTTGCTGTGTCCTCCCCTCCTGGCTAGAATGGGGGCTCACACCAGGGTGTCCACCTACTTTCAGAATTATAAGCTTCTTTCCAAGACAAAAGGGTAAAGGGGTGCAACCTATTGTGTGTGGTGAGGATTGGGGTTTGTGGATGGCTTTTCATCTCTATCTTCAGGCCTCTTGACTGAGGAGAATGATGAGGTTGGGGCTTGGGCCTCAGACAAACTGGACTGAAGGCCCAGCACCACCACTCTCTGGGGGCCGTGAGCGGGTTCCTGGGTACTTCTAAGGTGCATTTGTGAGAGACAACTGGACTAGTTGATCACTCATGTTTCTACCTTCTGTTTTCAGTGTTTTTTTTTTTTTTTTTTTTTTTTTAAGACAGAGTCTTGCTCTGTCATCCAGGCTGGAGTGCAATGGCGCAATCTTGGCTCACTGCAAACTCCACCTCCTGGATTCAAGCTATTCTCAGGCCTCAGCCTCCTGATTAGCTGGGATTACAGGCACCCACCACTATGCCTGGCTAATTTTTGTATTTTTTTCCAGTAGAGATGGGGTTTTGCTGTGTTGCCCAGGCTGGTCTCAAACTCCTGAGCTCAGCAATCCGCCCGCCTTGGCCTCCCAAAATGCTAGGATTACAGACACGAGCCACCACAACCAGCCCCTGTTTTCATTTTTAAATCTTTTTTTTTTTTTTGGAGACAGAGTCTTGCCCTGTTGCCCAGGCTGGAATGCAGTGGCGCGATCTCAGCTCACTGCAAACTCCACTTCCCGGGTTCAAGCGATTCTCGTGCCTCAGCCTCCCCAGTAGCTGGGATTACAGGCATGTGCCACCACATCAGCTATTTTTTGTATTTTTAGTAGAGACTGGGTTTCACCATGTTGGTCAGGCTAGTCTTGAACTCCTGGCCTCAAGTGATCTGCCCTTGGTCTCCCAAAGTGCTGGGATTACAGGAGTGAGCCACTGCATCCGGCCCCTCTTAAACTTTTAAGTATACAATACAGTATTGTTAGCCATAGGGACAGTGTTGCACAGAGTATTTCTGGAACTTATTTATCTTGCATAATTGAGACTTTATGCACAATGACCAGCAACTCATTGCCCCCTCACTGCAGCCCCTGACAACCAGCATTTGGTCCTCTAATTCTGTGAAGTCGACTTAGATACCTATATAACTGGAATCCTGCAGTATTTGTCAATCCGTGCCTGGCTTATTTCACTTAGCACAATGTGCTGTAGGTTCATCTGTGTTGTCACAAATGACAGGATTTTCCTCTTTTTTTTTTTTTTTAAGGCTGAATAGTATTCCACTGTGTATTTATATTACATTTTCTTTATCCATTAATCCATTGATGGACACTTAGGTCATTTCCACATCTTGGCTATTGTGAATAATGCTGCAATAAACATGGAAGTGCTAATATCTCTTTAAGACCTTGATCTCTTTCCCTTTTTTTTTTTTTTTTTTTTGAGATGGAGTCTCACTCTGTTGCCCAGGCTGGAGTGCAATGGACTGCAACCTCCGCTTCCTGGGTTCAAGTGATTCTCCTGCCTGAGCCTCCCAAGTAGCTGGGATTACAGGTACCGGCCACTATGCCCGTCTAATTTTTTGTATTTTTAGTAGAGACGGGATTTTGCCATGTTGGCCAGGCTGGTCTTGAACTCCTGGCCTCAAATATTCCACTTGCCTCAGCCTCCCAAAGTGCTGGGATTACAGGTGTGAGCCACCATGCCCGGCAAGACCTTGATTTCAGTGATGTTTGATAAATACCCAGAAGTCAAATTGCTGAATCATATGGCCGTTCTATTTTAAATGTTTTAAGAAATCTCTGTAGTGTTTTCCATAGTGGTTGCAGCACTTTGCATTCCCACCCACAGTATACAAGAGTTCCAATTTCTCCACATCCTCATCAACACTCGTCTTGTGTTTTGTGATAACAGCCATCCTAATAGGTATGAGATGGTACCTCATCATGATTTTGATTTGCATTTCCCTGATGGTTAGTGACACTGAGCATCTTTTCATATACATGTTGGCCATTTGTATGTCTTTGGAGAAATATCTATTTTTTTTTTTTTTTTGGCATTGAGTCTTGCTCAGCCACCCGGGCTGATCACACCAGTCCAGTGGTGTGATCTCGGCTCACTGCAACCACTGTCTCCCAGGTTCAAGTAATTCTCCTGTCTCAGCCTCGAGTAGCTGGGATTACAAGCACCCGCCATCATGTCCGGCTAAGTTTTGTATTTTAGTAGAGACCGGGTTTCACCATTTTGGCCAGACTGGTCTTGAACTCCTGACCTCAGGTGATTCCCCTGCCTCAACCTCCCAAAGTGCTAGGATTACAGGCATGAGCCACTGACCCCAGCCAAGACATGTCTATTAAAGTCTTTAACTCGTTTAAAAATTGGGTTATCCTAGCACTCTGGGGGTCAAAGTGGGAGGATCGCTTGAGCCCAGGAGTTCAAGACCAGACTGGGCAACACAGCGAGATGCCATCTCCAAAAAAAAAAAAAAAAAGATTGGACTATTAGATTTCTTGTTGTTGAGTTGTAGGAGCTCTTATATATTTTGGAACTGTGTATTTCTGCCTCTTCTAAGAGGGGCCCATTTTTGTGCTTCTCTCATATTAACACGTAGGGCCTCCTAATCCGGTGTGGATGTGCTTCCGGGAGTTGAGAGCCCTTGAAACGGTTCACAGTATCACCTGCTCATGCCTTCCTCTGAGGCAAGGATCTGTATTTTTTATTAGATTCTTAAAGGGATTTGCGCCTCCAAAGAAAATGCTAAAACCCATGGCTTGGGCTGTCAACTTCTCTCTTCCTTGTCCCCAAATCATTTAAGACGCAACTCTTCCAGAAACCCTTCCGTCCCTCCCTGCAGGCTCTCGCTAGTGTGGTCTGAAGATCATGAAGCGGACTCATGTGGGAGCCTGAGCGAGGCAGAGGCTCACCCCATTCCATGGGATAGACGGGACCTGTGTGTTTCCCGCCTCTCCAGGGGACTTGTGCACACCAGCGTCCTGTTGCCTTAATCCCCCTCTGATCTTCCTCTTTTTCATCTCTAGTCTCAAGTCACATAACTTCATCTTCACTTCCTGGGCTTTTCGCTATGTTCCCGCCTTATTTATCTGATTAATTCTTAACCAGATGATCAGAGGTCAAGAGCAGGCTGTGGGTCGGGCAGGCCTGGGTTTGAGTCCACTCGGAGCTGGGCCGTGTAGGGAGCCACGGTTTCCTCGTTTGTTCAATGAGGAGAATATGTGAGTCCTCTGTCTAGAGTGGCTGTGATGGTGACATGGGTGAGGATCTCACCACTTGTTAGAATTTGCTCCTCGTGTGGAATCCGCCCTCGCAGCCTTCCTGCTGTACCACCTGGGGGCTGCCATCTGCTGTCTTGCCCAAGGTAGTGGGAGGGTGGGTTTGTGGCTTGCTTTATTTGGAAACAGACTTGCTGCTGCTCGAGGCAGCCTTTGGCCGCAAAGCATCTGTAAATTTTTCTTTATCAAGCCCAGGGCCTTACAGTACTTGGAAATTCTCTATGGGCTCACAGCCAGGAAGACAGTTTGTATGGAAGGGCCTGAAATGTTGGATTTTGGGGGAGGAAATCCCATTTTATTCTCCCCACTCTAGAAAATTTTGGGGCCATCATCATGCTGTCAAAAAGAAGGAAATTGGCAATTACTCCTGAGAAAATATTACTGTCTACTTGAATAATCAGGCAAAGTTGTTTTTGTTTTAGGGTTTAGAAAAATGTCCCCCCCTTTTTTTTTTACTTTTAGTAGATAATGTAGTTGTATGGAAACACCCCAAATTACACAGAAGCTTCAAAAGAATGCTTTACATCCTTCTTAGTGGTTATTATCTCACTTTATCAACCGTATTTCTTAGAAATCTGATCTGACTGGATGCTACTA